TTTGTTGACAAAGTAAAGCAAAAATATCTTGAAGTTTCAACGGCATAATTAATGGGATTCACATTTTTGAGGTTACTGAATTTGAATTTAGGGTAATCACTTGAATCCGACAAAGGGCGTATTATAAACAAATAGCTTATATGGGTTGGTATTTTTAAAAATTTTGATTTATCTATAAAAAAAAAAAAAAAAAAACTTTAACTGAGGTTAGGATTAGTAATTTAAGTCTTGTATGTCGAGTAGTTGAAGAAAATGATTTAAGTATAATTTTATTACATTACCTTTTAATATAATTTTACTATCGTTTAAATAATGAATTTTTTTTATTTATTTAAAACTCATATTATTGAATGTATTTTTTATTTAATAATATATAAAAATTATATAAAAATTTATCTATATATCACTGTTGAGTACTTAATTATTGATGTGAAAAAAAATTTAAAAGGCATTTCTAACCAAATGATCTAAAATTTTCAAAATTTTCACCTTTATGTGCCTTCTTTTATAGCCTGTTTTTGCAAAGTAAATAAAAATTGGGGGGTTTAGTGATGTGTTGTTTTTTATTTTTGATTTGATTGTCAAAATTTAATGTACTACTAAATTAAAATAAAAAGGAGAAAGGAAAACAGTCTCGGACGAGCTAGTTTATAAAAGAGCATCAAAGGTTTTGCTTAATGACTCAAGGACTGCTCTTCCTATGTAGGTGGATACTTTTCATTCACTTGCAGGTTAAATGTAAAAGGTAGTCATTGGAGAAGCATTATAGTCACGAGAGATACCATATCACCATGTCTTCTGTTCTTCCATATTAGGAATGATTAGTAAAATATGTGAGGCTTTCATAGGCAACAGTAAAGCTTTAACATAACCTGTCCATGGCAACCAAGGCTTCTATGGCCTTATTGATGCTCCTATAGCTTTTATTAATAACTTGAGGCTCTCTGTGCTTAATTTTTCACATTCATCATGAGCAATAACTCTTTATATTAATGTTATAGGTACCTTTTTAGTGTCCTTTTTTTTTTAGGTGAGAAATAAAATTCTATTGATATATGAAGGCCATAAAGGTTATAGAACCAATCTAAATAGAATAATATATTAGAGGTATTACACTCATAAAATGCATGAAAAAGCAAAATCAAATGTTTTATTGCCCATGTGAATATCATAGTCAAACTTAAATTTAAGATTTGGCAATTAAGCTGCATTTTAGCATAATCTATATAAACAGAAGATAAACTAGTTAGGGCGAGAATCCTATTCCAACAATGCCTTCAACAACTGAAATAAGCACGACAACTAATTTAAGTTTGACTAATATTGTGTTCAAGTTACCATCCTTCTCTAACAAAAAGATATCTTAATTAAAAAAAAGTATCTAAAAAGCTAAGATAGAAATTAAAAAAAAAAAAGAAAAGAGAGAAACGTCCACGAGAGAAGAAAAAACCCTCTCAAGAGAAGAAGAAATTTCCATTTGTATCCATCCATCCTAATCAGAAAGGGGGAGAGAGGCAACAGTGACTAAGAGAAGAAGAAAATGCCTTTCTACTTTTCTAGTGTTTTTATATTTCTTATTTTAGGCTACATGGCACCGCAAGTTGTGTATATATATATATATATAAAAACTAATTCCGCTCGTAATTTTGATTAATGTTTTTTGTATAAATCAAATAAGATTATTCAATAAAAAAAATTTTCATTAATATTCATATACTATATAAAAATATTACTTAAAATTTTATATATAATTAATTAAAAGGTAAGTTATATGAATAGATAAATAACAAGAATGAATGGATCCTATGGGAAAAAAAGAAGAAGTGAGGGATGCAGCATTATAAAGGAAATCTATCTTTTTCAGATTGGGAATTAGACATTACAATTTTGGGTTCGAAAGTTTGAGCCGACAAATGAAAAAGAAAAAAAATACTAATAGTAGTAACCGACAGATCATTTGATTTTAAGCTGTTCGAAAAATGACAGATCATTTGATTTTAGTCGGCGGATGTTATGTCATACCGACTCCTTGTAATGGGGTCCCCCTTTCGAAAATTAAGTCGCACTAGCAACTCTCTAACTCTTTATATACTATTCATACTATGTAAAATATATATTATAATATTGATTAGTGTACGTTTTGTCTCAATATATTATATAATATATGTATTAAATATAATTATTTTTTAATTTAAATTAAAAATAAATAAATTTAAATATATAATTATATATATAATAT